TTGGCGGGAAAAAATTTTACGGGAAAATTTACAAGATATTTTAAGGTTTTACAAATTTTTACAAGTGTTTTGGCGGGAAAAATTGGGGGATCACTTTTCCCACCAAAAAATATTTTGTATTTTGTAGACCTAATTTTGTTATATTTCCTTATATATTTATGATATCTTTTATTAAAAGAAGGGTAATTTAGTCATTTTGTACATAAAAGGGGTATTTTTAAAAATGGACATCCAAAAGGGGCATTTTTGAAAAGGGGTATTGAAAAAGGGGCATTTTTGTGAGTCTCCCATTTTTATATGATGGAAATATGGAATGAGTTATGATCCTTATAATTATTTGAACATTTATATTTAATTTCTTACAATTTTATATACTACAATTAAAAATTAACTAATTTAATTTGGACATTTTAAAAGTTAAATTTAATATTTTTTAGAATATCATAAATATTTAATAAATCAACAATAAAAATTAGAAATACTTTAATTTGAGTTTTTAAACAGATATATTTAGAATATTTATAGCAAGCCTCAAGTTAAATATAATGTGTTATATGATAAAAAGAGTTATGATCTTTATAACAGACGATATTTTAAAATTATATATACGATGAGATGGGTTAAATTAATAAGGTTTAATTAAAATTGTTTGTAGAATCAAATTTTCGAAATAATGAATGATGGATTGTGCACGCAATGTTTTCATTAGAATTCTAAAATGAAAATTTAGACTTCATGTACGGATTGAATTTAGTATTATTATATACCAAAAATATTTTCATAACATATTCGATTATGTGAATAATTGCTAAATTCCGTAATCAGTTCAAACAAATATCTATTTCAATAACCAAAGAATTACAAATTGAAAAAAAACTTTCTAAATTAAATCAAAATAATAGCTAACTTCCTTAATTAACTCAAAATAATCTACATTTTAGATGTGACTCATTTATGATATTTTTGATTTTTGATCTAACTGAATTATATGTAATCTTATTTTGTAATTGTTAACATAAATTAACTCATTTTTCAAACAATATAAATTTTTAAAAAATAATATTATTTTTCGTTTTAATATCTTAATAAAAATTATCTATAATTGATTATTATATAAAAATATATATATATATATATATATATATATTCATTCTAATATTATATATAGGAATTGACAAAAAAAAAAATATTTTTTCACTTATTTCGATTTTTGATCTAACTGAATTATATGTAATCTTATTTTTTTGTTGTTAACATATATTAATTCATTGTTAAAACAATATTAATTTTTTAAAAATAATATTATTTTTTGTTTGGGAGACTCACAAAAATGCCCCTTTTTCAATACCCCTTTTCAAAAATGCCCCTTTTGGATGTCCATTTTTAAAAATACCCCTTTTATGTACAAAATGACTAAATTACCCTTCTTTTAATAAAAGATATTATAAATATATAAGGAAATATAACAAAATTAGGTCCACAAAATACAAAATATTTTTTGGCGGGAAAAGTGATCCCCTAATTTTTCCCGCCAAAACACTTGTAAAAATTTGTAAAACCTTTAAAATACCTTGTAAAATTTTCCCGTAAAATTTTTTCCCGCCAAAAAATTTTTTTGCGGGAAAAGTAATTCCGCAATTTTTTTGGCGTTAAATTTTTGGCGGGAAAATTTTTCCCGCCAAAAATTTACAAGGTGTTTTAAAGGTTTTTTACAAGGTATTTATAAGGTTTTACAATGTATTTTAAAAGGTTTTACAACGTATTTACAAGGTATTTATAAGATATTATAAGATTTTACAAGCTTTTTTATAAGGTTTTTACTAGTTATAAGATTTTACAAGTGAATTATAAGATTTTACAAGTTATTATATACCTTATTAACTCTTATAAGTACGGCGTAAACCTGGCGCATACATTGTCCACCAATACTTTACACGCGACATTGTTCCAACCTTTAAATACCTTGTAATTTTCC